CTTCTCTTTACTTAGATTAAAATTTAGTCTAACGTGCAAGTTGTCCATTAAGCGACGCGTTGTTGTGTATAATTATAAGGTAAATTTCCTCTTAATAATTAATAATTTTCATGATCAGAATAATTTCTCCAAGACTCCAACTACAGTAGAGTGAAGTATATAGGCAACAGCTAGCCTCCATGGTGTCTGATGTTTAGACCATCGTTTATGCTTTTTCATAGTTTTTTAAGTAACACGATATATAATATATTAAGCTTTTTTATTAATCTTAAATATAGAAAGCTGCCTAATTTGCGATTCATTATTGCTTATATATCGATCACTCTGCCAGGCCTCGAATTTCCCTGAAATCAATCGACGGCAATGGCGTTAAAAATTGCCGTAGAACGTAACAGCTGCCTACGGCAATTTTGACAGTTTCTACGGCATTTTTCAAATTACTGTAATAAAACTTGAATTTTATTGTTACTTTGGATTTTTGACAAGCTGGAAACATGTCTACGTATTTCTTTAGTGTTTTTTTTTCGAAGAAAACTGAGACTAAAATAGTGATTTACGCATGATTTGATCAACATCTGAATTCAAGTATCAAAATAGTAATGCACAGTGAATAGTATAAAAATTGCACTATACGGCAAAAAATTGCCGTCGTTGCCACAATGATCCACGGCATTTTGTTCTCCCTCTAAGGCAATTGCCGCGATAAAATTCGAGCCCTGCACTCTACTGTATATTTAAAAGCGACTTAAACTGTTTGTAATTATATATTTAATATTTGCACCTAATTCCTAAATTAAATTAAATTAAAATGAACTATCATCAGGCAAGTTTAATAGGCTCTTTGCATGCAGTTAACTGGAAATAGTTGAGAACAGTAAGTGATTCACGGAGAGCATGGAGAGCTGCATTTACCTTGCCCTCCATGAGCCACTGTTATATGTAAAGTGTTTTTAGGCCAGCTGCAAAGGACCTTATTTTAACTGCAATGGCAACAGGATTGGGAACTGATAACAGCAAGATGTTGTGAACTACTGTAGTTGACCCTTTCATCTGTAAAGAAAATGTACAACACCGTAAGGTAAGGTAAGAAAAGTTCAGTTTAAAAATATGTATGAGTAATTGAAGAATATACAATAAATCCATTTTTATAATGTGCAAGATCTTGCCAGAGGAAACGTTGTCGTTGGGGCAAAATAATTGACGCATGCATGGTTAAAAGCTTATACTCAGTTAAGACTCAGTTTGCAAGTGCAGTTTTTAGAGCCACAAATCACACATTTGATATAAATATACTCGCAGTACTAGTATTCCGACGTTTTTCGTAAGTCTATATCATATTAAAATAAAACTAGTAAATTGCTGCATGCCGAAAAATGACTACTTTGTCTTTCTCCTTTGACTTTGTTCAACCTTACCTATACTGGCTATTGATTCTAATTTCGATTTTCAAGTTATGTTATTCGGAATTTGTTTCTTTTTGATATCTTAAATATAACTGTCGAGTGGTCGTGATTTGCAGCAGTATAGGCTATATTACTGCAAATCACGATCACCCGACAGTTATATTTAAGCTATCAAAATATAAAGAAACAAATTCCGAATAACATAAAAATCGAAATTAGAATCAATACAATTGTGAATTTTTTCACTTTCATACTTCAAAGTCATCATCAGACGGAATGAAATAGAATACTTTACAAAAAAGGAATGTATATAAAGAATATGTCAACAGTTGGGCGTTGTGTTAAGTTCCTTGCAAACCTTCGAATTTCAGTCTCTTTATCAGTATAATTGGTCTTGTGATTTAGCTATAAGTAGGCTATTGTCACAATTGTGCATGTTCACACTCTGAGAAATTTTGCCTATTGCACTTGTCGAAAGTCTTAATTGTTGCATTTATTGTTCAATATTTTAAGCACACCGATAACATAAACATCTCTGAGTCATACCAAGAAATGTCATCAACAGGATTATTGCGATAAAAGCGGAATTAAAATTTTATATAGTTCGAGATTCTTCTTAAGAAAATTAAGAAATATTTGTATATTGGAAGTGCACGATTTCATAACTTTGGCACCGCGATTTCCAAGATTTCCAAATAGATCATAATTGAGATCTTTCAAAAACCCATGGTCAAATTTTCCATTGTTTTTACTCACTTTTGAGCAGGGGCGTAGGAAGCATCAAAAAGTTGGGGGGGGGGGCGGTTTCGAGGGCACTTTTCGAAAGAAAAGGACACCTAAAAAGTTTTTCCCGGAAATGTTGGTGACGGGGGGAGAGGTCAAATCAAAAATTTTTTGGGACATATCAATTTCTTTGCAAACATACAAAAATTTTTCCCAACATATCATAATTTTCAGGAAATACCAAAACACTAAAATAAATGTTATCGTAAATCAAATGCTATTGAGGCAAATTACGGCGATCGGCAACGATATTTTTCACATAGTCAGAGGTCTCAGAAGGGCACTTTGCCACCGAAAAAAGGGCACTTTGAAAACTTGCCCCTCTTGGCCATCCGGTTCCTACGCCGCTGCGTTGGAAAAAAATCCATTGCATGCAAGACGTCCAGGACGTCTTAAGGAACCCAAGACGAATTGCGAGAAAGCCGAGCAAGATAAATCTGCTGTGGCTAAACATACTTCATGGACTTACGACCATCGTATAAAATGGGACGAAACAACCATTTTGGCGATTGATAGTCATAAGTTCTCTCGCAAAATGAGAGAGTCAATTGAAATCGAGAAGCACAATACTATAGATCAGGAGGGAAAGCCAGTAGATAGTACGTGGCGTGCTCTCTTTAAAGGCACAGTTCAGCCTTTTGAACGATGGTTTTTAAGGCGCATTTCAGCCCTTTTAATTGAAAAAACTAACTAGGAAAATCAATTAAGCATTATTCAAAATCAGTAAAATGGATGTTTTTAACAATAAAGATGTTGTAAAATGTCAAAAACATTGAGTTTGGCGATCTTGAATTATGCTTAATTGATTTTCCTAGTTAGTTTTTTTCAATTAAAAGAGCTGAAATGCGCCTTAAAAACCATCGTTCAACAGGCTGAACTGTGTGCCTTTAATGTGCAAAATTAATTTCTCTTGTCTTGGATGCGCGCGCGTTAATTGGAATCACTTCACTACGTGAAGTGATTCCAATTGGTTGATGTGCCGTTTAATTAAATTTCAAATGACGCGAGCCAACAGATCACGACACCTTTGTACATAAAAAGGGCGTGTGAATTAAACAACTCACATATCCTAAAAACCATTGAACTAAACTTTCAACTATAAAGAGTTGAATGCTAAGAACTAGATGAATCTGCATATATAATGAGCTACACAATAAATCGCATGATGGCAAAGTCAGGCGAACTTTATACGTATTTTTAAGCGTTTAAAGCATTTTTACACTATTTGCCGGGCTGCCTATGATATTATTAGCACTGATGAAGATCCGGACTTACGGATCGAATTAAAGCTTTGCAGCAATAAATTTACGTGGTGTTTCCACAAACAAAACTATTATTTGTTTTATCGCCATGCAAACATACAAAGAACTTATAATTAGACAAGAGTTCAGTCAAAATCTCTATTTCGCGCACATACTACTGTTATGTACGGTGGCCCACAACGGCAACACACAAATTAAATTTAATATACAGTTTTTATTATTAATTTTGCTGAGCGAATTTTTTTCTGGCCGAATTCGTTGTTTTCCAACCGAAATTTGTTTTCAAACCGACTTTTTTTCTGTGAAAATTATTTTCAGCCAGTATTTATTTTCAGCCGAAATTTATTTTCAGCCGAAATTTATTTTCAGCCGAAATTTATTTTCAGCCGAAATTTGTTTTCAGCCGAAATTTGTTTTCAACAGAAATTTGTTTTCAGCCGAAATTTATTTTCAGCCGAAATTTGTTTTCAGCCGAAATTTATTTTCAGCCGAAATTTGTTTTCAGCCGAAATTTATTTTCAGCCGAAATTTATTTTCAACCGAAATTTGTTTTCAGCCGAAATTTGTTTTCAACAGAAATTTGTTTTCAGCCGAAATTTGTTTTCAACAGAAATTTGTTTTCAGCCGAAATTTATTTTCAACAGAAATTTATTTTCAAAAGAAATTTTGTGATTTCACACGAGTTACCACTGACCGCTACTGATCATGTTACAGATGAATATATTAACGCGACAAAGACACGTGTTTCAGGCATTCAGTCATGGCAGCCATTTCACTGCTTCATGCTTCACAGCTTCATTAAGTTCGCACAAAATGGAAGGAAATCGAAGTCGTCTGTTCATCTGCGTACAATGTGGTTGTCATTTAGAAAACAGTTTCAGATTCTGTCCTAAATGTGGAATGCAACTCATCGTAAATACACAAATTAATGGTCTGGGAGGTGGAAATAGCCAAATTCGTTCCCCGGACGTTTCGAATGTTTCTCGAACGCGTATGTCACAGTCAAACGTTATAGCGACACCTGTTCCTTCCACATCTTCAAGTACTCGTACTCATGTTCAGACAAAACTTCCTGGATTTGAATTCTTTAAGGCATCAAAAGAGAAAGAAAGAAGAGGATTTAATATTCGTGGAAAAGGAAAGAAGAAGCGACACATTGAAGCACAATCAGTTGTCATTTTGGTTGGAATTATGGGAGCTAACAAGAAACCAAAGCGATGCGAGACGTTGCCTGTAAACGTGCAGACCACTGCAACGCCTGAAGCCATAATAGAAGCGGCCGTGACGAAACATGTTGCATTCAACAAGCGTTTCAATGGTGACCTCACCTATCGTCTGGTTTACAGGGATGGGACAAAAGTACGTTATATTCCTGGGACAAATCCTCCTGAACCATTTGTGTTGATGCGATATAAGGAAGCCTCAGGATTCGGTTATTCAAAAATAACCTTTTTCTTTGAGGTTCGAAATGTGATAACAGACCTAAGAGAAGTCATCGAGTCTGATTCACACTCAGATGATATTGATGATGATGATGATGATGGCGATGATAATAGTTTTACCGCTACAGCGAGTCAACCAACATTTGGTGAAAATGAACTGGTGGAAATAAGTAAAAAATCCGAAAAAGAGCCATGCGAAGTTACAATGATGGTGAACTGCCCAACATGTGGTGGGAAATACCCAGTTTCTGAAATTGAAGAGCATGCAGATTTATGTGCCGATTATTCTGTGGAACAACCAGATCCACTTCCTGTGGACAAGGCAGCAACACCTGCTCTCAAGGACCAAGGTAAGGGGCTGACCATTTCACTTTTGGGGGGGGGGGGCTGATTTTGAAAAAAAATTTCCTGCAAGGCCATTCTGAACAAAAAAAATACCTGCACTAACAAACTGAGGGAAAATTTATCCTGCCCCATTATTTGGTGGGAAAAAAATGTTGCAAAAAAGAATGGTTGCAGGGATCGATTTGACCAGTCCCAGAAGATCAGCTGGTTTGATTTTCAGGGACTAGTGTAAGGTTAATTTCTTTTTGGAAAGCTCCTCAAAGTGCTGGAAATAGCTTATCTGAGCTTCAAGAAATCCAAAATTTTCTGGGGGAGGGCATACCCCCAGACCTCTCTAGAGGCTCCCACTTTTGGTGGTCAGAATCCTAGGTATGGCCTGATTTTGCTGCCTTATGGCGCATACTTATTAGTTAAACCATGCATAAATATGCTGCAGGTAGCTGCAGCGACATAGACTTGCCGACTGGAACTTCTCCAGGTCCCCCGCTAAATATGTCCCCTCCAGTTACACATC